TGGTATTTATGAAGTGTGTGAGGTGTGTGGCATGTATGGGGTGTGTGGATGGATATGAAATGTGTATGGTGTGCATGTATGGTATTTTGTGGTGTGTGTGGTATGTGCGGCGTGTGTGTATAAGGTGTGTGTGGTGTGTATGGTGTCTGTGGTGTGTATGGGGTATATGTGATGTGTAGTATGTGTGAAGAGTGTATGGTCTGTATGAAGTATGTGTGTGGTGTGTGTGGGGTGCATATGGATTAAGTACCCAGTGTGTGTGAGGTGGGCATGGTATATATGTGGTGTGGTATATGTGAGGTGGTTATGATTTGCATGTGGTGTGTATAGGATATGTGTGTGAGGTGGGTATATGTATGATGTGTGTGAGGTGGACATGGTATGTGTGTGGTGTATGAGTTGAATGTGTGGGGTGTGAGGTGGGCACGGTATTTATGTGGTGTGTGGGGTGGGTATATGTGTGTTGTGTGTGGTGTGTAAGGGGTATGTGTGTGAGATGGGTATAGTATGTGTGTGGTGTGTGTGATGTACATGAATTAAGTGTGTGGTGTGTCTGAGGTGGGCATGGTATATATGTAGTGTGTGGTATGTGAGGTGGGTATAGTACATGTGTGGTGTATCTGGGGTGTGTGTGGTGTGTGTGAGGTGGGTATATGTGTGTGGTGTAGATGGGTTACGTGTGTGGGGTGTGTGAGGTGGGCCTGGTATATACATGGTGTGTGGTGTATATGGGTTAAGTGTGTCTGGTGTGCGAGGCGGGTATGATACGTGTATGGTGTGTGTAAGGTGAGCATGGTAGTATGTGTGGTGGTTGTGGTGTATACAAGTTAAGTGTGTGGTCTGTGTGAGGTTGGCAGGGTATATATGTGGCGTGTGAGGTGGGTATGTGTGTTGTGTGTATGGGGTATGTGTGTTAGGTGAGTATGATGTATGTATGGTGTGTGTGAGGTGGGCACCGTATATGTGTGATGCATGTGTGGTGTATATAGGTTAAGTGTGTGGGGTGTGTGAGGTGGGCAAGGTATATATGTAGCGTGTGGTGTGTGAGATGGGTATGATATGTGTGTTGTGTGTGGTGTGTGTGAGATGAGTATGTGTGTGGTGTATGTGTGGTGCATATGGGTTAAGCACCTGGGGTGTGTCAGGTGGGCATGGTATATATGTGGTGCGTGTGAGGTGGTTATGATATGCATGTGACATGTATGTGGTGTGTGTGAGGTGGGTATGATATATGTGGTGTACATGTGTTTAGTGTGTGGGGTGTGTGAGGTGGGTGTGGTATATATGTAGAGTGTGGTGTGTGAGGTGGGTATGACACGTATGTTGTGTGTGGTGTGTATGGGGTATGTGTGTGGTGTATGTGAGATGGGCATGGCATGTGTGTAGTGTGTGTGAGGTGGGCATGATATGTGTGTTTGTGGTGTGTAGGGGGTACATGTGTGGTGTATGTGAGGTGGGCATGGCATGTGTGTGGTGTGTGTGAGGTGGTATGGTATGTATGTTGTGTGTGGTGGGTATGGGGTACGTGTGTGGTGAGTGTGAGGTGGGCATGGTATGTGTGTGGTGTGTGTGCGGTGGATATGTTATGTGTGTAGTGTGTGTGATGTATATGGGTTCAGTATGTGTGGTGTGTGAGGTGGGCATAGTATCTGTGTGGTGCACATACATATGCAAACACATGCATACGTGTGCACTGCAGATGACAGGCAGGCCGGCAGCCCAGGACACGCAGCAGTGACCAGCTCGGCCAAGGCAGGGCTCCGGGCGGGAGTGGCCAGACCCCTAGCAGCTCAGGATCCTGGATGCACTAAGAGCCTAGGAGGAGAGAACAAGCTGTGTCACCACCTCCACCCAAGTTCATCACTAACATGAACGTACAAGCTGCACTGAAACTGTTCCACTTGTGATTAGAACCAGAAACACTCTGGACGGGCTCAGCGCAGCCAAGGCAGGGAAACTCTCCTCAATGTTCTGCTTCACCATCTGCGGCCAGTTCTACCACCAGCAGCCTTGCCAGGCGGTGCCTGCCTTGAAGAGGCCTGGCCCAGGGGCAGGTCCCCGCCGTGCACCCAACCTTGTGCCTGCAGTCCAGGGGCCACGGGGTGTAGGATCTTTTACTGAGAAGTTTTTCCCTCTGGGCCTTATTATAAAGGGAAAGGTAAGGGAGCGAACATCTGGGCTCAGGTTCATGGCAGACAGCGAAACCAGAGGCGACCCCAACCCCGCTGCCCTCGGGCACCGGGAGTTGATGCCAGCGCCAAGAGGGGACGGGGGAATGCACCAGCGGCTGGCCCAGCCCAGCAGCGGGACCCGAGTGCCCCCTCCCCAACCCCCAGACAGCACCTCTAGCCAGCGCCGGGTGGCCATTGGCAGCGAGGCTCCCCCCACCCAACCCGGGGATGCGAGAGCGCCGCCTAGCACCCGCTGCACCCACCCACCGGTCGTGGGAGACGGAAGCGGCCAGTAGGAGAGGAGTGCGGCCGCTGGGCTGCACCCCCAGATCCCAGCAACAGCCGCCCCGCAGCCCCGCCGAGTCCAACAAGGCAGCGCTCGGGAGCACTAGAACCGAAACCTCCGGACGCCCCCACGCAGCGGGGTCCCTGCAGTGCCGCGGGAGGCCCCAGGCTGCCACAGCCGGGGAGTCAGGCAGCCCGGGTCCCCCAGCTTACGTGTTCAAGACTCGGGGCTGCTTCAGCGCGCTACCGTTCCCGCCCCGCCGCCGCCCGCTCGGTCAGCGAAGCCCGCGCCCAGCCGCACACACCCAACCCAGCGCCTGCGACCCAGGGGCAACAGTGTAGGATTTTCAGTTGAGGTTTTCCCTCTGGGCCTTAGTATAAAATAAAAGAGAATTGGGACCAGATCCGGGCTCGGGTTCTCCAGCCAGGGAAGGCACCCGCGCCCCGGCCAGCCCGCTGGAACCCGGGCAGGCGCCCTCCCTTCCTCACCACTACCTCCGGACACCTTCCCAACCCCCAACCCCCAACCCCACCCCCGCCAGGCAGCGCCTGTAGCCGGCGCCAAGTGGCCCGTCGCTGCGGTGCCCCCGCGCAGGATGCGAGAGCCGCCGCCTGGTCCCTCCTGCACCCGCCTGCCTGTCGTGGGAGGAGGAAGAAGCCGTAGGAGAGGAGTGGGGCCGCTGGGCCCCTCTCCCAGATCCCAGCAACAGCCACCCCGCAACCCCCCGGCCCTGCGAAGTCCAGAGGGCAGCGCTCGGTGCACTAGGGCCGCAACCTCCGCGCCGCCCCACACTCCTCCGGGTCCCTGCAGCGCCGCAAGCTGCCACCTGCGAGTCAGGCAGCCCGGGTCCTGCAGCTTACCTGGCCAGGGCGGGCTGGCGGGGAGGACTGCAGAGCGCTGCGGTTCCGCGAGTCGCCGCCCGCTCCGTCCGCAAAGCCGAGCTCCGCAGCGAGCCCGCGCGGAGCAGTACAAACCTTCTGCAGCCGGGCAGCCCCGGGCGCGTCCCGGAAGCCGCCTACGGCAAGCGCGCAGGGCCGCCTCTACCGGACGCATGCGCATTCACCTGAGCCTGCGGGACACGCGCCCCGGAACCGCTCCCTTTGCTTCACCCTCTCTTGGGTCACTGGGGCGGGAAACGCTTCCCGGAGACACGGCGCGGCGGAAAGAGATGGAATACAAAGATAATGTGCGCACGAGGCCCTGCGCACCCTGGCCCCCGCGCTGGGACAGTCGGCAGGGCGGGAGGGTGCACCCTGACCTGGGTGCGCGGGGCTTGTCCCTCGGAGCTGACACGGGGCTGGAGCTCAGACGCTGGAAGGAGCGGCGCCCCCGAATGCCCCGGGACCTGGGGAGCACGCAGATTCTGAACAGACAGGCCTCGCTAGGTCCCCGACCTGTGCCTATTCCCATTAGATCGTATCTTTTTCTTCCAATCACTGTTTTTCAGAACAGTCCACTCTTCATCAAACCTATGCATAAAAATGCATAGTTTCCGCAGTATCTTTGGGTCTTCATTCTGAAGGCTCCTGGTTATGTAAAACTGTGATTTAAAAAAATTGTTAAGCTTTTCTCTTGTTAACCTGTCTTTTACCCTTATGAAGGGGTCTCTCCCTTCTGCCCTTACAGAGCCATCTGCCACTATACAGCCATCTAGAACTGGTTTAGATGACTGGCCTTTGCCTGTCTTCCCCTAAATATTCCCTATTACAGTCTTACTTCTGGTCTTAAAGACCTAATACCTCTATAAGAAACAAAAGAGGGAGTTATGAATTGGACATGTTGAGACCAAAAACGTAATGAAGAGGGTGACATTTTGTTGCAATGACAATATGAAACAGATTTATTTACCAGAACAACCTGTTGGTCCCAAGGGTTGCTAACCAGTGTACTTTCTAAGTATCAAAATTAATGCCAAAGAGATAAGAATAAAATTCAGACCTTCTCCCAGTAGGTGGGGCTGGCATGAGACTTCTTGAATAAATCAATAGACAAATGAATAAACAAACTTACTAAAGGGACTGTTTGATTTTTGTCTCAGGCATTCCATAAAATCTTATAAATTTTATGATGTGTTGACCCTGTGCTCTACAAGTGTCAATGAAGAAGCATGTTATAGGAAGGAATATCAACTGTAGTTCAATATTTAAGAGGCTTTTTAAGGAGGTGTGGAGCCGGGCGCGGTGGCTCAAGCCTGTAATCCCAGCACTTTGGGAGGCCGAGGCGGGTGGATCACAAGGTCAAGAGATCGAGACCAACCTTGGTCAACAAGGTGAAACCCCGTCTCTACTAAAAATACAAAAAATTAGCTGGGCATGGTGGTGCATGCCTGTAATCCCAGCTACTCAGGAGGCTGAGACAGGAGAATTGCCTGAACCCAGGAGGCGGAGGTTGCGGTGAGCCGAGATCGTGCCATTGCACTCCAGGCTGGGTAACAAGAGCGAAACTCCGTCTCAAAAAAAAAAAAAAAAAAAAAAAAAGGAGGTGTGGAAAGAGTCTGGGAATGACTAAACTATGCAATATCATAGAAATAAAGATATGAAGAATAAGAGTAATTTTTGTTGCTTTATTAAATTTTTTTCTCACAGAATTCTTTATAAAAACACTATGTCCCTAAAATGTCATTCACCATATATGCACACCTTTGATGTATAAGACACTGATCAAAAAAGACAGAAACGTGTCCCTTCCATTTTGTTTTTGTTCCGTTTGTTTTTAAAGGCAGGGTCTCACTATGTTGCCCAGGCTAGAGTCAAACTCCTGGGCTCAAGTAATCCTCCTGCCTCAGCCTGGGACTACAGGCACACACCACCACACCTGGCTTTGTGTTCCTGGTATTAATACGATGCCAAAATATTTAAAATTCTGAAAGGTAAACTCAAATATCTTAAAATTTACTTGACTTACAATTTCGATACTGATGAAATGTTGATTGAATGTTGTGTTTGTAGTGCTCTCTCTTTTTTGTTTATAAGAACAAAAGTCTCTCATTCTCTTGGTTTCTAAAATATGTATGTTCATATGGTTTAGATACGTACATATAGTTATATAAATATGTTACACAAAACAATATTTTTGAGTTGTAAATAAAAATTTTAAGGAAACCAAATCAGAATAAAAGTTAAAGTTAGAATACATTTAATAAATTAATTCTAAAGTTTAGACAAAGTTTTGGTTCTTCATGAAAGAAATGTACGAACTGTACCCTTGATTATACTCCTGCAAATAGGACACTTTCTTAATGAAGGAGCACAATCTTTGCATACTACTAGATGACCACAAGGAATAAACACTATGGACACTTCTTTGTCCATACACACTTTACATGTTCTTTCTTCTTGTAGTCTCCGCAGTTGTTCTTCCACTGATAGATCTAGAAAGGGGAAAAACATTTTAATAAAAGGCAATTTACTTCTTCAATGAAAAACCAAGAAAATACAAACAATGTTTTCTATAGCTTTAAAATATTAATACTAATACCTGAAATATCTCCTGTGGGAATATACTTTATATCCTGTTGCACTAAGGGAGGAAAAGAAAAAGCATTACTATTGACAAATAAGGTTAATATTGAGCTACAGAATATATTTTTAAAAAGAGCAGTTTAGACTTGGGCCAAATACTCATGTCAAGACAACAAAAATCTTTAATTTTTTATGCAATTAATATCTATAAATTAGATTGAATTTTTTTTTTTTTTTCGAAACAGGGTCTCAGCTCTGTCCCCAGGCTGAAGTGCAGTAGCATATCACAGCTCATGATAGCCTCTATCTCTCAGGCTCAAACCATCCTCCCACCTTATTCTCCTGAGTAGCTGAGATTACCATGCATACACCATCCCAGCTAATTTTTAAAAAAAATTTTTGTAGTGACGGGGTCTCGTCATGTTGTCCAGTCTGTTCTCAAACTCCTGGGCTCAAGCTATCCACCTGCCTTAGTCTCCCAAGATGTTAGGATTACAGGCATGAGTGACCACATTCAGCCTGAATAATTTTCAATAATCATAAATTATTAATAAGAGCATATTTTTGACTTAGAAAATTTTTAAAAATAGTTTTCTACCACTCACCAAATAAATGCTCATATAACACAGTGTCAGCTTCTTGCAGAGAGTTTCTGAAAACAGTGGCTGCAAAATTTCCTTTTACTAAAATAGTATCAATCAGTTCTCTTGCTTGTAAAGATGTCTGTGACTTCCGTTTAATAACATCATGTTCTTGCTGATTAATAATTCTGGCAGTTAGTAGACTATCCAGGATTGGAATCACACAAGTCAAATGTTGAAAAAGTGCCATTCTATTCTTCCGGATTAATAATAAATCATCTTTGAAAAACAAAAACAAGCATAAACATGTTCAAACTCTGCTCACAAACTTCCTTCCAGTCCTATATACACAACAAAATAAAAACTATCGTTAATTCATAATCAGTAAGGCATTGATGTTAATTGCTAGGTTTAGGTGTGTCTCATCTCCTGTGCTTAATAATAAATGTTATTATAATTATAATGCAGGGTTCAGTGGCACATGCCTGTAACACCTGAGGTAGGAGGAGCCTGAGGTAGGAGGATCACTCAAGCCCTGGAGTTAGAGACCAGACTAGGCAACATAGCAATACCCTGTCTCAAAAATATATAATTATAATAATGCTAATTATTGTAAAGACTAACATTTAGTGAGCACTGTGTTAAGAACTTTACATGTGCCGGGTGCGGTGGCTCAAGCCTGTAATCCCAGCACTTTGGGAGGCCGAGGCGGGTGGATCACAAGGTCAAGAGATCGAGACCATCCTGGCCAACATGGTGAAACCCCGTCTCTACTAAAAATACAAAAATTAGCTGGGCGTGGTGGTTGCACGCCTATAGTCCCAGCTACTCAGGAGGCTGAGGCAGGAGAATTGCCTGAACCTGGGAGGCGGAGGTTGCAGTGAGCTGAGATTGTGCCACTGCACTCCAGCCTGGAGCTTGGCGACAGAGTGAGACTCTGTCTCAAAAAGAAAAAAAAAAAAGAACTTTACATGTATTGATTTATTGATTTATTTCATCTTCACAACAGCTCGTTGAGATAGGTCCTAATAGCCTCATTTAACAGATGAGAAAATGAAGCCACAGTGAGGCAAATAAGTTGCCAAACTACACACAACTAGCAAAAATCAAACTGGGGTAGTCTGGTGTCATGTACTGTACTTTCAATCATTTTGTAGTACTGCTAAGCCTTTAACCAAATGAAACTTAGAACCCATTAAAATTGACATTTCAATTTGATCTAGTCAAATTAAGGAAAGAGAAAATAAAGAACATTAAATAATTTTTTCTTAAAGTATCATTCTTCCACAAAATTTCTTTTATTATTTATTTATTTATTTATTTATTTATTTATTTATTTATTTTTAAAACAGCGTCTTGCTCTGTCACCCAGGCTGGAGTGCAGTGGCACGATCTCAGCTCACTGCAACCTCTGTCTCCAGGGTTCAAGCTATTCTTGTGTCTCAGCCTCCCAAGTAACTGGGATTACAGGCACCTGCCACTACACCCAGCTAATTTTTTGTATTTTTAGTAGAGATGGGGTTTCACTATGTTGGCCAGGCTGGTCTCAACCTCCTGACCTTGTGATCTGCCTGCCGCAACCTCCCAAAGTGCTGGGATTACAGGCGTGAGCCACCGCACCAGCCTTAAATGGTTCTTTTTATGCGTCCTATTACTTGATTAAAGTTAGTGTATCTAAAACCTAATAATCTTCTCTACCAAAACAATTCTTCAGATAGTTCAGCCTCTGTCATTAGTTATTTTATAGAAATAGCTTTATGAATTATGGTAAGCTATATGACAATTAATAAACTTAGATTCATAAGTTATATTCCAAAGAGATAATAAAATTGCAGTTTTAAAATATAAACTGTTTTACCAGTGAATAAAAAAAATCTAGATCTTGAAGGAGAATAAGATGATCTTGTAGGACAAGAAGGTAGTTACTGAAAAATAGGGTTTATTATTCAAAATGTTGTTACTGCTTTTCCCTGCTTACTGTAAAATATTAAAGTAAAGGCAATATGTCTAACTGGGGAAAATAATTAAAATTTCAACTTAAAATGGAATTTTAAAGAAATGTTATAGGCTGGACATAGTTGCTCACACCTGTAATCTCAGCACTTTTGGAGGCCAAGGCGGAGGATCACTTGAGGCCAGGAGCACTTGAACCACTGCACTCCAGCCTGGGTGACAGAGTGAGACTCCGTCTCAAAAAAAAAAAAAAAAGTTTAAGAATTAAAAATGGAAAAAAGAAAACATAAAAAATCAACAACAGGCCGGGCGCGGTGGCTCAAGCCTGTAATCCCAGCACTTTGGGAGGCCGAGGCGGGTGGATCACGAGGTCGAGAGTTCGAGACCATCCTGGTCAACATGGTGAAACCCCGTCTCTACTAAAAATACAAAAAATTAGCTGGGCATGGTGGCATGTGCCTGTAATCCCAGCTACTCAGGAGGCTGAGGCAGGAGAATTGCCTGAACCCAGGAGGCGGAGGTTGCGGTGAGCCGAGATCGCGCCATTGCACTCCAGCCTGGGTAACAAGAGCGAAACTCCGTCTCAAAAAAAAAAAAAAATACAAAAAAAAAATCAACAACAACAAAATAAATAATTTAAATGGTGCTTAGTCAAAAAGATAAGGCTAAAGGCACATTTTGAAAATAACTGAAGCTCTGAGAATAAATGAGAAAAAGGTCAGCAGCTAGAATAGACCTGGCACAAGTATCTGTTGAACAAATGAACAACCAAGCCTTAGTTCTACAATTTAAAGAGTAGGAATAGAAAAGTGATAGTGAGAGGGGTAGAAGAATTAGAACTTAATATATTTTGATAAATCATCTATATTAGCAAAGTAGTGATATATTAGAAAATAAAAATATAATTTAAACTTGGTGTTGAAGTATACTAGTTTTTCAACCTAAGATTTTTTTTTTAATTACATCTAACCTAATATAATACATTCTCTGAAATTCTTAAGATTTCTAAAATTGATTGCTAGTAACTGGGAAAAAGTCTCATTTCAAAGTTGTAGACTATATTCTGGTTTGTAAGTTCAGAAGACTTGAATATACCTTTGAAGCATATTATTTTTATTTTTATTTTCTTTCCTTTTTTTTTTTTTTTTTTTTTTTTTTGAGCCACAGTCTCATTCTGCCACCAGGTTGGAGTGCAGTGACATGATCACAGCTCATTGCAGCCTCACCCAGCTAATGTGTGTGTGTGTGTGTGTGTGAGTGAGTGTGTGTGTGTGTGTGTGTGTGTGTGTGTGTTTTATATATAAAGACAGGGTTTCACTATGTTGCCAAGGCTGGTCTCAAACTCTTGGACTTAAGTGATCTGCCTGCCTCAGCCTCCCAAAGTGCTGGGATTACAGGTGTGAGCCACCACACCCAGCCATATTATTATTTTATTCTGGAAAACATATCTTAAATTGCCTTTTAAATTTTTTTAAATTTTATTTATTTTTTATTTTTATTTTGTTGAGACAGCATTTCAGTCGTTTCCTAGGCTGTAGTGCAGTGGCGCAACCTTGGCTCACCATAACCTCCACCCCCCAGGTTCAAGCAATTCTCCTCCCTCAGCCTCCTGAGTAGCTGGGATTACAGTCATGCACCACCACATCCAGCTAATTTTGTATTTTTAGTAGAAACAGGATTTCTCCATATTAGTCAGGCTAGTCTCGAACTCCCGACCTCAGGTGATCTGCCCCCCTCCACCTCCCAAAGTGCTGGGATTATAGGTGTGAGCCACTGCACCCGGCCCATTAAATTGCCTCTTTATTTACATCCCTACTGTTCCTGGGAAACTGTAAAGTAATCACTAATTACTTTAAATGTGTTTTCATTCACTTACTCAGAAAATGTTTCTTGAACACAGACTATATGCAGGCACAATACTAGGCAGTAGAGATATATATAATGCTGAGGCAGAAATACTAAGGGCTCTTTTCGACAATGTAAATTATTATATATTGTTGACTTGAAGTTTTTTGGAGACTTTCCTGCTTGTCTTTGAAAGAAATACAAATTTTTTATAAGTGGATAGTTTTAGATTTTTATGGGGTCTCTCAGCAGTTGTGGAGGTAAGTGTTTTCTTCTTGGAGCAATTGTTGGCTGATGACCAATGGCTACCACTAAGACGACTACAGGAAGGACATACTTACCTAATCTTTACAGAGAAAAGAGAACTTGATGGGGCCAGGCAAAGGTTAACTGTGACTGTGTTGCTGCTTTGCTGCTACACTAGTAGTTTAGCAGACTGAGTAATTCACACTTTGGTGAATGTATGATGCTCTATCACTACGATCTGATAGATTTGTCTGGGTTGGGTCAGAAAACAAATCCATCTTCATGGGCAGGGTTGGATTTATCCCTAAATGAAGTGGACAATCTGACTGTCAATCATCCTGTGAAGAAACAGATCCCAAATAGTTGGACAAGGATAAGGGGAAATCTTTGTTCTCCTTCTGAGCTTTATGAATATTTGGGGACCTGAGTTTTGATAAAGGAAAACATGATTGGGACATTCCTAGTGATTTGTGTAAACTTGCCAAAGCTACAACAAGATGAACCAGAAGCTAGGTAGAAAGATTTGAGGATGAGCACAGGGGCACTAAGAGAGGCCATATCTAGTTGCAGCTGTAAATCAACATTTGTTATATAATTCCTTTCTGTTATCCCTAAGTCTCCAGTAAGAGCTTGTTGAAAGTTGGAGCCTGCTTTCAGCTGTGTTGAAGGGACTTATAGGTCCCATGCTTGGGAAAGGAGAGAGCAGCATTTCTTTTCCTCTAGTACAGGGTGATGATCACAGTCAAAGCAGTCAGCTGAGAATGGACATGCCCAGAAGAGTTTTTGTGAAGGGCAATAAAGTAGAGAATATAGCAGTGGATAAGGTTAGTGCGGAAGAACATGAGCAACTTGCCCTAATAGATTTTAAAACAGTATCCTATGACTTGCCTAAACAACCAACAGATGCTCTGAAGAACTCAGTTCTTGTGTGGGCAGGTAGGGGACTTAATAATAATTTGTACATTAATATATGATCACAGGCTAAGACATGCTTTAATGTTAAAATTAATTTTCTGCCCAGGCACAGTGGCAGGCCTGTAATCCCAGCACTTTGGGAGGCCAAAGCGGGTGGATCACTTGAGGTCACAAGTTTGAGACCAGCCTGGCCAACATGGTGAAACCCTGTCTCTTCTGAAAATACAAAAATTAGCTGGGCGTGGTGGCGTGAGCCTGTAGTCCCAGCTATTCGGGAGACTGAGGCAGGAGAATTGCTTGAAAGCAGGAGGCAGAAGTTGCAGTGAGTCAAGATCATGCCACTACACTCCAGTCTAGGTGACAGAGTGAGACTGTCTCAGAAAAAATCTAATAATTATACCTGATCCCACCCTGATTTACTCCAAAGTGAAGTGAACAACTAGCCTAGGATTGAAAATGTGCCAAGATGCAGCAAGAATTCCATTTTCAAGGTCTTAAGAAAAAAAAAAAGTGCCATGAATGCATAATTGCACACAAAGCCAACTATCCAGAGAAAAAAAATATGGAAAACAGAAAAAAATACTTTTGCACATCATACATTTTCAATGTATGAGCAACTCAAATATATTTGAATATAAAGAAATTTTTCAGTGTTTGAATTCAGAATACTAAACATGAAAAAAATCTGACTGGATAGAGTATATTTTCAGTATATATACTAGATGAGTATACTTTCCATAATATATAGAGTAGTATCAAATCCTTATGAAAATAGAGACTGTATTAATAAATCTACATACTTGATTCTCTTTCCTCAGTTGCTCTTTCTTTCTCTTCTTCCCTTATTTCATCTTCTGCATTGAGTAGGTCTAAGACAAGATCACTGACGAGTCTATAATTCTCTCCAGTTGCTAAGATTTTCCTCTGAACTGTCTGTTTTACCAGGCTTCTACTAAAGCCCATTTCCAGGGCAGCTTTAACCACAGGAGTATTCATCATGATTGCATCTTCTGCATGATCTTCTCCAGGTTCAAAACGCATAACTATATGGAACAAATAATTTAACAAATATTAGGATAACCTGTATATTTCTTAAAAATTGAAATTTGCATTGAAATCAAAATTGAAAGTTTTTACAATATTAAAAACATAAAACCAACAAAATGTGTAGGCATCATTTTGTATGAACACTGTTAAATTTAAAATGATATATATGTTCAGTCATCAAAATAATAACATGGAATATTGTACTTAGATGCAAAATACATATTACCTGTCATAACTGGATATACATATGTGACCAGATGAAGGAAACAGAGGTGGCAGGGATTACCTCCCACCAGAATTCAGATTCTTTTTCCCTATGTTGAATGAACAAATGAGCTTTCTAAATCAAGAATATTTCACATATTTTCAGAGGTTATTATCATACAATATTGCTTCCTTGCAGTTCATTCTCAACAGTACAATCAGATTGACTTTTTAAAAACACAAAGCTGGTTGTGTCACACTTCTTAAATTCTATCAACAATTCCATTTTATCTTAGGATAAAATCAAAAATATAATTGGCGGTCGGGTGCGGTGGCTCAAGCCTGTAATCCCAGCACTTTGGGAGGCCGAGGCGGGTGGATCATGAGGTCAAGAGATCGAGACCATCCTGGTCAACATGGTGAAACCCCGTCTCTACTAAAAATACAAAAAATTAGCTGGGCATGGTGGCACGTGCCTGTAATCCCAGCTACTCAGGAGGCTGAGGCAGGAGAATTGCCTGAACCCAGGAGGCGGAGGTTGCGGTGAGCCGAGATCGTGCCATTGCACTCCAGCCTGGGTAACAAGAGTGAAACTCCGTCTCAAATAAATAAATAAATAAATAAATAAAATTGGCTTACAAAGTCTCATACAATCTCAACTCTGTTTACCTCTTCAGCTTCATCCCTCACCACTGAGTCATTTGCATCCTGCACTCTAGCCCAGAAGTCACAAACTGATGGCTCTGGTGTCAAATTCTGCCAGTAGTGCTAACCACTCGTACAGCTGGCCTGCTTCACTCATTTATCTGTTAGCAGCTCCTACTTCGGGTTATACAGAATTTTGTTCAGTTCTTCAAAGGTCTCTATTCTTTGTCACTTTGGTCCTTCATATGCTGTTGTCTCTGCCTGGAATACTCTTCTTCCATTTGTCACTTGGTTAACTCCTACTCTTCCCTTGGATTCTCTGCTAAGACAAATACATCCTCTGGATATCCTTTTCTGGCCCTCCAAAGTCTGGGTTAATTGCCCCACATGCACTCTCATAACATACTTTACTTTCACTGCCATATCCCTTTCTCCTGTCTGTGTATTTGTCTGTATCCTGTAGATACATGTCACCAGGAGTTATGTTTATCCTGTTCTCTATTCTTACCTCAGAATAGGAGATACGCAATAAATATTTACTGAATTGAACTGAACATGAGATAATGGAATAAAAGAGCTTGTACAAATATTAGCTCTATCACCTTTAGGTTTAAGATGATGAACAAGTCATTCAGGGTACCTGTTGAAGAAGGAGACTAACATGTTCTATCCTTCCTCTTTCACAGGAAAAATATGTGAGCTATCTAATGTCATAATACATCTGTTCCCACGCTGGCCCAAGAACAAAGGTTAGGTTGGATGTATGTAGTCTGTTAAAATATACATGTCTGAGTCCCACCCTTAAACACTCAGATTTAATTCAGTAGGTCTAAAGTAGAAACTGGAAATCTGTCTTATTTTTTAAAGTCCTCCAGGCAACTCTGATAGGCACTGAAGTTTGGGAAATACCAAGACAGTATATTTGAAAATGCATTCATTGTAAATTATAAATCAATATGAAGGTACATTATGATTATCAACTTTCAATCATCTTTTTTTTTTTTTTTTTTTTGAGACGGAGTGTCACTGTCGCCTTGGCTAGAGTGCAATGGCTTGTTCTCAGCTTACTCTAACCTCTGCCTTCCGGGTTCAAGCGATTTTCTTGCCTCAGCCTCCCAAGTAGCTGGGATTACAGGTGCCTGCCACCACACCCAGCTAATTTTTGTGTATTTAGAAGAGACAGGGTTTCACCATCTTGGCCAGGCTGGTTTCAAACTCCTGACCTCGTGATCCACCCACCTAGGCCTCCCAAAGTGCTGGGATTATAAATGTGAGCCACCATGGCCAGCCAACTTTCAATCTTAACAGTACAAAATAACTCTGTTTAAATGCATTCATTATTGTCTACTGCACTTACTTGATGACTCTGCATTTTCATCTTCTGGGGTGTCTGACGTGGATAGCAACTGCAGGAGAAAAAAAAAATAATATATATATATATATATACATATATAAATTAAAATATAAATCTTATCTTACCCATTGCAATAAAAATGACTCAACAGACATCTTTTACTCAATTTATTGAAAACTACTTTCTTACTGGCAAAATAATTTTTTAACTAAAAACAATATTTCATTTATATTTGATAGTTATTCCCTAGGCCATAAGCTAATAGAGTTTCTGTGTGTGTGTATATATTAATAAATACAATCTATTTTCATTAAGGCAGGAAAAAGACTATACCTTTTCAGTAATCTATGAGACAATTAATTTTCCTTTCATCCACAGGTTTTTACCTTCCCTGGGTCACCCTTTGGGATAAGTTGGATGCTGTATCAGTTTTGCTCATGGCTAAGATGGGTTTGACCATCAAACTATTATGTAAGTTATTTGCTTTTCCAAGAAGATTAGAAAAAGGAATAAAATTCTCTTTCTAAGATTTTTTTTTTTTTTTTTTTTTTTTTTTTTTGAGACAAAGTCTCACTCTGTCACCCAGGCTGGAGTGCACTGGCACAATCTTGGCTCACCGCAACCTCCGTCTCCCAGGTTCAGGCAATTCTCCTGCCTCAGCCTCCTGAGTAGCTGGGATTACAGGCGTGTGCCACCACGCCCAGCTAATTTTTGTATTTTTAGTAGAGACAAGGTTTCACCATATCGGTCAGGCTGGTCTCAAACTCCTGACCTCCTGATCCACCAGCCTCAGCCTCCCAAAGTGCTGGGATTACAGGCATGAGCCACCACGCTCTTTCTCAGATCTTTTGAAGGAAAATGTATATAGTAAAACTATTAAAAGCTACTATCCCAGTCATTTTTTTCTCAAATAATTTAATTTTTTGCAACTTGATTGAAAAAAATGCTTACAGAGAAACATTACAAGTATCATTATCAGGAGACAACCATTTATGGATATATTTTTCTCCAAAGAATAATACTTTCTAAGATCATGTCATATTTGGTAAGAAAAATAAAATGTATTTCTAAAACAACACTTACATTTTCATTAAAATTGCACTCTCTGTAATTATCAGAAAGTAATTTATCTGATGGCAACCAATATTTTAAAAAAGAACTTTCTGTACCTACCTCTTCAAGTAGATTAGGGCAACTGGCTTGAACTTGCTGGATGAACTCCTGTCCTTTAATTCTTATCAAGTACTCACACCTAAAATGTAAAGAAAATAAAGTTTGGGGAGTTATTTATAAAAGTGAAAAGAAAATGTAATAACACAAATTTCTCATCTCTAGGTGTTTATTCCATTTCAAATATGGTTGTTTCCCCCAAATCACAGAATCATTTAAGATCATTTACTCTAAACTTAATGTTAGAAGAATAAATAAAGCCTAGCCCAGTGGGAACTGATTCTATTGTATTGCTTTCAAAAAACATTATTTTTGTAAAACTAACCCATAAGTATCCTATGACAGGATTTAGATTTTTTTTGCGTGAATTTTAAATTGTTTTTTAAGATGCTTCTCCCGACGGTTAACATTTTTCATACAGTTTGAATGTTTTACAAAATTAACATTTTTTTGTATTTACCAAGACATGTTATACTTCCACTAAAAATTTTCTTTTTTTCTTTTAGACAGAGTCTCGCTCTATCACCCAGGTTGGAGTACAGTGACATGATCTTGGTTCACTGTAACCTCCGTCTCTCAGGTTCAAGCAATTCTCGTGCCTCGGCCTCCCGAGTAACTGGGATTGCAGGCGCCCGCCACCACACCCAGCTAGTTTTTGTATTTTTAGTGGAGATGGGATTTCACCATGATGGCCAGGCTGGTCTTGAATTCCTGACCTCAAGTGATCCTCCTGCCTCAGTCTCCCAAAGTGCTGGGATTACAGGCGGAAGCCACCGCACCCGGCCACCTCAGCTAATTTTGAAAAGCACTAAATGGTTATCTTAATTTGCACAAGACTAATTCAGCCATTTGTAGACTGGTAAATATTTCAAATGAGTATAAACATACATATAATCAGTTTACTATTCATTTAGCATATAGGGAATGGTCAGAGATATTACAGTGAAAGACAGGTTGATGCAAGCAAGAGGAAGGCTATTCTGCCAAGTAATCTGCCAAGGTTCAAGCAGACAAGAGTCAGAGCCTCTCAGTCTACTGAGGTCAAGTGAAGCCGTCTCAGCTACTCTCTTCAACTCTTCTGAGATTCTTTTTTTTTTTTTTTTTTGAGACGGAGTTTTGCTCTTGTTACCCAGGCTGGAGTGTGCAATGGCGCAATCTCGGCTCACCGCAACCTCCACCTCCTGGGTTCAAGCAATTCTCCTGCCTCAGCCTCCTGAGTAGCTGGGATTACAGGCACACACTACCACGCCCAGCTAATTTTTTGTATTTTTAGTAGAGATGGGGTTTCACCATGTTGACCAGGATGGTCTCGATCTCTTGACCTTGTGATCCACCCACCTCAGCCTCCCAAAGTACTGGGATTACAGGCGTGAGCCACCGCGCCCGGCTCCTGAGATTCTTAAAAACACACTGATGTTGGCCAGGTGTGGTGGCTCACGCCTATAATTGAAGGACTTTGGGAGGCCGAGGCGGTTGGATCACCTGAGGTCAGGAGTTTGCGAGCAGCCTGGACAACAACATGGGGAAACCCCATCTCCACTAAAACTACAAAAATTAGCCGGGCATGGTAGCATGTGCCTGTAGTGCCATCTACTGGCAAGGCTGAGGCAAGAGAATTGCTTGAACCCGGGAGGCAGAGGTTGAAGTGAGCTGAGATCCCATCGCCGCATTTCAACCTGGGGGAGAAAGCCAGACTCCAACTCAAGACAACAAAAATAATCAAAATAAGTTAAGACGCCAAGTTTATTTATCAATATTAACCCATTTCCCATTTGGAAAAGTACAGTGCAGCTTGGTGCCCAGTGCAGTGTTCTCAGGGCAAAAGGGAAATGGGTTGAATAATAGCAAAAGTTTTGACCACACAAAAATGTAATTGTAGGCCACATGATTTAGATGAAAAAGGAGAATATAAAAGAATGTCTTTTTGAAGCTGACATTTTAGTTAGTACATGAAGTTTCTTACCAACATAATAAAAACCCACACTTGCAAGCTGTTCAGGATTAACTAGAACACTAGAGGGCCAGCTAAACAATCAAAAGGGTAACATATCACATTAAGATGCTGTGTGGTGATTAAAACAGATGAGATGAGTCTATACTTACCCTGACCACCCAATTTAATATTGTAACCTGCCCAGCTTTCCTAAATTCCTCTTTGTTCTTTTTATTGACTGTACTTATTTTCCAACATGCTCTGTAACTTATTCAAGTTTTTATTAATTGTCCGTCCTCTCCGGCTATAATACAAATTTAGGAGATCAGGGGTCTTTGTTTTGCTCAACTAATTTTATGCAAACAGAACCAATGCCTGGCAATAGGTGACCAATAAATATTATTGAATACTGAATGAATGGAAATATGTCCAAGACATATGTTGACTGAAAAAGCTTCAAAACTAAATATAATATTTAATTTATGTAAAATCATGTACATTTATTTCTATATGTATATGTGCATAAAGAGATGTCTGCAGAGATATTCACTAAAATGATAACCATGCTCATCCTTAGGTGGTAAGATTTCTGGACATACTAATTTTCTTTTTCTGTGCTTTTCTACATGTGACTTTGTTTTTATAATGAGCATGTATTACTTAAATACATGTATTTCTTTAAAAATTAAACAAAAATCCCCAAAACTATTTCTTCATTGTCTTAAGTCCATCAAAACTTTTTAAGTAAGTATTTTTCTAAGTAATCCATTCTAAACTTACTCACAAATACATATTTAAAACAGAGTAACAGCTGATTTAAGGTAAACACATATAAGCAATCTCATGATAATCACAAAAATTTTCAGAGAGAATTTCAAAACAATTACCTTGGAAACCACTTAGCATGTTCCACCCATGGATCATCTCCAGATTCCCAACACCTGAGTCCACCATCACAGCAAAAACATTTGACATCATCACTGTTACCTAAAATTAATTTGGATCAGAACTTATGAATACACATAATTTGCCCACTAAAATGTATAAAATAAAATGTACCCTTTTAAATTAGCAGATTAAGTTTCTTACCTACATAATAAAAACCCGCACTTGCAAGCTGCTCAGGATTAACTAGAACACTGGAGGGCCAGTTAAAGAATGTTTTAAAGCGGGCTGCATGTGTCTGCATGCTCAGATTAGAAACTGTGATTCTTGAAGTGTCTTGAAGCTGTTTTCCTATAAATGGGCATTTGGGAAAATGTCTCAAGTGTTCTGACATAGCATCATCCTTTGGTTCCCAATTGCTCAGTTTTCCACCACAGGCAAAGCAAGCCACTCTGTCTCCAGGTCCTACGTAGTAAAAGCCTGCTTTTGCCAGATCTGCTGGCGACAGAAAAGTCAATGGCCACGTCTGAAAAGTAAGTAGTCTGGCTTTTTCATTATTCATTGCACAGTGGTAAGAACTTCCCATCAAGGCAGAAAAATCTTGATTTGCTCTGGAGTTTAGAAGATTTGATGGAAAGCTTGAATAAGAGCCAATGATATATGCACTGTTTTCTGTACCCGGAAGTAACGAGCGTGTGGAATTTGTTCCTGAAGAAGGAAAAGTAGGCTGAGAGGTAGCTTCCAAGTTGTTAACTGAATTTAGACTCTGAACAAATCTGCAGCTAGGATACAACTTTTTATGCTTTTCAATAGGACTGTCTCCTCTTTTCCAGTTATCCAGCATGAGGCCACAACAGAAGCATTTGACCTTGTCATTCACACCAGTGTAATAGAAACCAGCACGAGCGAGACTCCTTTCCGAGACGGGAACCCCAGTGGGAAAAGTGGAAAACGTAGACATTCGATACAGTTCACATGAGAAGTCGTATTTCAATTCAAACATGTTGGCACTTTTCATCAAATGTGATAAGAATATGCTATTTTCTACTATGTTCATAATGAAATGAATGGGGAAGAAAAGGGACTAGCCTTTCTCTGGGGAGGTAGTTTTGTGCATGGCTTTGCTTTTATCAGTTTTAATACCAGGCTGAAAAGATAAAATGAGAAATTTTTCTTTCTTTTTATTTCTATGCATTTAGAATTTCAACATGGAAAGATTCTAAATCCTATTCTGATACATTTTAAGGAAGAAATACACAATTGCACCTTTGTATAATCTTTATACATATGATGTAAACGTGATGCCACAGAGTAAACTGTGTTGAAAATTAAAACCCTTCAAAGAAGAGTAAAGTGCGTTAGGACATCAGGATCCCATTTAATGTCAAGCATCTCCACAAGTAGGTCAACTTCTTCAGGCTACTAGGATGTTTCAGTGGCATTCAATCCACCTGAAGATGAAATGTGTGATTCATGAAGCTGGCTTCTTTTCATGGCAGAAAGCCATGCTCTCAAGTGTTTCACAGCAAAAATATTCAGATTATGTTTATTTTTATTTTTGGAAATTATGAAATTTGGTAGCCAAGAATAAAAAGCATCAGACCTACCTCAAAGGAGGAAAAGAATACATTACCATATTTCACTGATTCTAAGATGGCTATTTTAAAACTTCTGTTATGAAGAAGTATTTTATAATTAATGGCATATATTTTAATTAGCAGCACTTTTATTTCTTAGAGGTACATAAAATAATGGTATGATTTACAGTTGAAGACATTTTAAATTCAATGAAATATGGTATATTCCAAAGTTTTTCTCCAATTAGTCATTTTTTCTTTGTACAATCATTCTAATAAAGAGAACAAAACAATCTAAAATTTCTCTTCAAATCAAGAGCTTAACAGATAACAGGACTGATTAACGCATCTTAAAACATGGTTTCAATATTTATTAAAAAACAGTTATTTCTCATAAATCATCAGGAATATGATTGCTTAAGCATAGTGATACTGTTAGATCTTATACAATTAAATATTCTATTTAAAATAAATCATCAGAGATTAACGTATTTGTTCATTTGGTCTTTTGGACTCAGCCTCATGCTGTTGAAGCAACTCAGTGTTTTTTTTTAAAATTCTAATAGTATACTTGGCTACAAAACAGAAATATCCTCTGTAATTATGGTAGACACCGGGTACTACAAAAAGAGACTCTGTCACAAACTACCAATAACAAAACTGAACTTCATTGCTATATTGGAGAAACAGAATCATGATATATATTACATTCCCTTGATTAAAAAATTTCTTAAGACAATTTAGATATGACTATAAAATAATAGATCTTTCAAAGATTTTTAAAAAATGTTTGTCCCCCTCAAAAAACTAACATTGAGGTTATTCAACTTATCACCTACTGAAAACATTTTTGAACTTTTGTTTTTCTAATTGTTTCTGAAGCCAACATTAAATATACTCTGATAGTGGTTTTATTTTTTAAAATAGTCAAAAATTACAAAGTGCTATGTATAGGCTAAGATGGATAATCAAATTGCATAAATATGGTTTTGGTTAGAAATTATTTCATGGATAGCATACCTTGAACCAGAATTTATCATGACCAAAAAAAAATAATAAATTTACCATTTCAACAGCAGAGACCTTGTCAAAATTCAGAATTTCTCAATTATGACTTACTAGCCATTAGTAAACAGGTTCGAGTCAATAATATTAGCAATGACCAATAAGCAAGTCATTGTAGCTTTTTCTTTATTTACTTTTTTACCAGCGATTTGCAAACATGGTTTCCTGGATCTCACAGATACTGAGTTTTCTACTGCAGACTTCGATACTTTGTTTCCAGGTGGCAGGAGAGACATCACATCTCATTACCAATGATTATTTCCCTCAAAGGTAAGTAATTGTACCTAACTTCAACATTCCTTTCCCTGATTGAAAACTTTACACATTGTCATAAAAATCTTCTTTGTATTCATCACTGTCTTTACATAACTTTTCTTTGTGAGTAAGCTCCTTCATTTCAGAAAATGTAACCTTCAACCATCATTCTCACCCTCATCATTCTCCGTGACAGCCCATTTAAACAAACTTTTGGATTTTTAAAATATCAGTGGCCTTGTAGATGACTAGATAATTTCTTCATCCATCATCACATTTATCTTACTTCCTCTAAATTTGTTGCACCTATTGAAAAGCTTTTTTCTTGATTTTTCTTTGTCACTGTAGATGTATTGTAATGTGTCAAAGCTTTTACCTGCATGTTTCTTTAATTTTGCAGTAGGTTGAGTATTAGTTCTTTGTTCTAAATAACTCATTTTAAAATGTTTCCCAATCACAGGTACTGTTTCTATTCTACAAAATGGGAGAATACGCCAGTAGGAGATTGCCTGGCCAACTCTTAAAAAAAAAAAAAAAAAAAAAGACGCTTTAACCATATGCCCTAGCTAGAATCACTTCTCCTTTACTTCTACATATCAAATTCAGAATCAAACTCATTATAGTTATACCTTATATAACTAGATCATCTTTATAAAATTAGCAATCTTCGGATAGTAAAACACCAGATAACTACTTAATTTGTTTACCCATGCACAAAACTACCTCCCGAGATTAGACTAAGTCCCTTTAAGGATTTTAGGTCTCCATCTTAAGATGTTTTAATTTATAGAAGAAACTGGAAGAGAAAAATCTAGAAGAAGCAGTCTTCCTTCTTTGTAAACCTGTTCAAAAACAAACAAAAAGACAGTTTTAAAAGTCAGACAATTCATAGATGGAGCACAATGATCTTTTAAAAAAATCATTTTCTCCAAAGTAGAGCAATAGTAATTACAATTGTCTACCATGTATCAGGTTCTTTGCTAGGCACTGTAGAGGCCAAAAAGAGATTAAAAACAAAACGAAAAAACAGAGGTCTCTGTCTGGTGCAGTGGCTCAGGCCTATAATCCCAGCACTTTGGGAGGCCAAGGCAGATGGATCACTTGAGGAGTTCAGGAGTCAGGAGTTCAAGACCAACCTGGCCAACATGGTGAAACCCCATCACTACTAAAAATACAAATATTAGCTGGGTGCGGTGGCGTGCACCTGTATTCCCAGCTACTCAGAAGGCTGAGGCAGGAGAACCACTTGAGACCAGGAGGCAGAGGTTGCAGTGACCTGAGATTGCGCCACTGCATTCCATCCAGCCTGGGTGACACAGCAAGACTCCATCTCAAAAAAACAAAAAACAAAAACAAAAACCAGACGTCTCAAAGTGGTAGACATATCATGTTTGGCTTACATAAAATTGCATTATAGTACTTCACTAGTTTTTTAAGTTTTTATTTTGAAATTTATACATGGAGAAAACTTACAAAAATAATCCAGTTTCTGCATACTCTGCACTTAGCTTCTCCAAAGCCAACATCTTACATAATCATAGTGCTATTAAAGAAACGAGAAAATTCACACTGTACCACGCTGTGGATTAATCTGTATGCCTTATTTGAATTTAATACAGTTTCCAAATACATTTTTTCTTGGACCACAGTATTTTAAAATCTTACCATTATTTGCCAACATTTTTAAATGTAAGAGACTTCCCATCACATTCTAGATTCCAAGCTTCTCTTGAAAAATCAAAATATCTAGCAATGCTGGGCCTATAGTTCTGCAGGGCAGCAATCAGCTAGAGCTGAGCAGCAGCTGTGCCCTTTAGAGAGAGAACGTGTTATCTTTGACTCCCTGATACTGAGACTGTTCTGGTAGTCTCTGCTAACAATAACAGTCTAGCAATAAGACTGTTGCTATTTGTCATTGAACTGCACTATTGCTTTTCTTACAGCAGAATTATGAGGAAAGTGAAATCAGTGTAACACACATGTCTATCAAAAGTAACAAAAATGAAAAGTAGAGGAAGAAGGACATACCTTTTGAGAAAAATAGGAGAACCATGTGTCTTTGTGGAAAGGAAGACTATTCCTTCATGTCAAATATGTAAACAGAGCATGCTTTCATTTAAAATAAATGAAAGTTTATTAAAAGAGACACCCACAAGGCCTCATGCCATGGCACACACCTGTAATCCCAGCACTTTGGGAGGCCGAGGTAGATGGATTGCTTGATTGCTCAAAATGAGTGACTTGGCAAAACTCCATCTCTACAGAAAAACTCAAAAACTAGCTAGACATGGTGGTGCATGCCTGTGGTCCCAGCTACTTGGGAGGCTGAGGCAGGAGGTTTGCTTGAGCCCATGAGACAGGTTGCAGTGAGTATAAGACTGCATCACTGCATTCCAGCCTGGGTGACAGAGCAAGACCCTGTCTCAAAAAAAAGAAAAGAAAAGAAAAAGAAAAAGAGAGAGACACTCAGAGGTTTTCTCATTTACATCACCTACATTTGAGTTTGCAAATCCCTTACACAAATCTTATCCTAAAGAAGATTTAGATCAGGTACAGTGGCTGACACCTGTAATCCCAGCACTTTGGGAGGTCAAGGCATGCAGATCACTTGCGATCAGGAGCTCAAGACCAGCTTTGTCAACATGGTGAAATCCTATCTCAACTAAATATACAAAAAAATTAGCTGGGCGTGGTGGCACACACTTGTAGTCCCAGCTACTCAGGAAGCTGAGGCAGGAGAATCACTTGAACCTGGGAGGTAAAGGTTGCAGTAAGCCGAGATCATGCCACTGCACTCCAGCAAGGCATATATTTGTGGAAATTTAGGCAACAACTATACAATAACAATACAAAAATATGCCAATGTCAGCCCTAGATCACTCATCCTAAACATTTCCAACACCGAGATGCAACCCTGCAGACTGGGACCAGCATCACTTCAGACTCCTTCACCATCCCTTAGCAATTCCTTTTAGCCCCGCTCAGCTCCCCAGCCCACTGCCCTATGCATCTCTTTTAAACCTTTAACACCTTCCTCAGATTTCTCCACTACACTCCACTTCATTTTCAGTCGATTGCTTTGCCTTCTATTTCTCAAAGAAAAGAGACATTATTGAGTAGGAACCCTTTCACATTCTCATATCCAAGCCTTTTTTGCTCACAACCTACTTGCTGCCTCAAAGATTTGCCCCCTTATGGGATCCTACCCTCTCCTACTGCCTCAGAAATCTTCTTCTTAATCCCATCCCCCTCATTTCTTCAACTCTTTCATCTCACTCTTGACTGGCCCTTTTCCTTCCACGTTTAACACTTATGCTTAAATCTATCGAAACTTTCAAATAAAAGCAGTGTTTAAAATCCTCTTTCAATCCCTTTCTATTCTACCAACTACCCTGTATTGCACCTTCCTGTCACAACCAAGCAAATTGAACATGTGTGTACCATTAATGTTTCCGTTTTCCCTCTGCCATTTACTCGTTAAATCAGCATCACGCAAAACTGCTCTCAGTACTGATAACACTAATGGCTTCTTTGCCAAAACCAATGGAAATTTTTGCATCTGACACTGGGGCACACTTCCTCTTAGAAATGTCCCATTCCCTGGGTTTCTCTGGCACCAAGCTCTTGCAATTCCTCTTTCATTTCTAGGGGTTCCTTCTCAGATTGGCTCAGTCCCCAGCCTCTCCTCTCCTGACTCTTTCATTTAACCTACCAAGCGGGCAACCTCCCCCATCCCAGGGTTGTTGGGCATCCATACCCTGCTGGGCACACAGCACATCTGTTTCTTTGACACTGGAGGGCAAGTGTGCCTTTTCTTTCTGCCTCCCCCGCGACAGTAAGCTCTTTTAGAATGGCAACTATTAATATGTCTCATCTCTGTACCTGCCCTCCCACTCACAGCATCTGCAGAGCTTGGCATGTAGGGTAGACACTAAGAGTTCCCATTGAAGAAGTAAATGTTAGCAAATGTGACTGAACCCTGAGTAACCACAGCACATCTACCAATTTTACATTAAGGACCACAGAGTCTGTTCAGTGATCGATTAATATCAGGGTTTGGAATCTAACATCTGGGGTGCCCAATACCAAGCAGTCCAGTATCCAGAAGTGTGACCTTGGCAAGTAAATGTCCAAGAGTCTCAGTTGCCTCATCGTCAAATGGAAATAATTATGGTACCTGCTTCTTAAGATCATGATCATTAAATGTGAAAAATGCATGTAAAGTCTTCAGAGAGAAACCTAGCATATAGGTAGCAGTACTTAATGTTAGTAATAAATAATAGCAAACAAAGTCAGTATTTAGTATTATTTTATGTTAGCATCAGGTAAATGCCTTCGACAATGTATTGACCAGAGCAAGAGCACTGCTGGGTTTCCATGCCGATCCCCAGGAAGACAACCAAAAACTGCTGTCTTCCTAGCACCGCTTGGAAACATGCCTCCATTTGTTCATTAAACATTTTACTGAGTCCTTCCTGTGCCAGAGCTCTGCGTTAGGCTCTGTCCCGAAATGTATTCGGCACCTGCAAAGAACCAGTGATAACTCTTGGCAACCAAATCAGAATGTCACAGCTTCACAATGCCACTGGCTCACTCCAAACGTAAAACAGAAATTGAGCACCTGGAACCTATCTAGAGCCTACTTTGGGCTTCAGAGCCGTGTTTGATTACTGCGCCCCCACCCACTGATTCTCAGTCTGTGCAGCGCCCTGGTCTCTAGCCCTGAGCACCCCTGGACCAGCCGCCGACCCACCTCTTACCCCTGGGGAGGCGCAAGGGTACGCGCGCGCGTACACACACACACACACACACACACACACACACACTCACATTCGCCTTCTTTCCTCACCCGCCTGCTGCCCAGAGGCCGACGACGCACGCACCAGCAAGGATGAGCCCAGTCTTTTCAAGTGACACCTGTCGCCCGGCCTGCTCCGTGCGGAAGGGCACGAGTCTCACGCTGCCTTTTAAATGCGTCATCGAATCCCCACCCCTAGCCGCACTAGGCGTTCCGCACCCCTCCCAGCGGTTTGCATGGGCTTTTCTTTTAGAAATTAGGGGAACTCCAGCGGTAATAACCACACACACACTTCCTCTTACTCAGTGGTCTGGCAAATCCACTCGGGGATTTCCATGACCCAAAAGCATGACTCTTTACCGTGGCCTATCTGCGCGGCATTTACTGAAAGACATTTGCTTCATTGCTCTTGGGTCAGAGGAAATCTTGATAACCCATATAGAGAGGACGATCTTTGCTCAGCCTGCCTGGAAAAGGTCAATGTCCCCTGGTTCCCACCCTCCATGCGCCATACACTTTACAGGTAAAAAGGTTAGGTTTTTCAATCTACTATAGCTGCAAAAGTCCAGCATTAAAAAAAAAATCGAAACTTTGTGAAATCCTTCTATTTATTTTTACTTTTTGTTCTGATCAAGAAAGTAACAGTTGAAAGCAAATGCAAGGGTATGTGAAAAAAAATCAAGCAGTTATTGCAGTTTATTTTTTACTAAAGATTGAAATTGCTTTGTTAATTATCTGTAGTGAAATACTTTGTTTTGTTTTGGTGAGGGTTTTTTTGTTGTTTTGTTTTGTTTTTAATAAGGGTGGAGTTGGCTATTTTTTAAAATCCCTCCTTTTAGTCTCTCGCAGGTCAGGTTTCTGAGTCGCAGCGCCATTCTCAGGAAAACCTGAAATCTTTGAGTCACACTGCACTGCCATATTTTCCTCAGTGTTCTCAAAGTAGTAAATTTAAGCAACTTCATCTGAGAGCGGTCCCTACCAGGGTAACAGATGGATTGGGTGAGTTCATCTGATTTTCTGTCTTCCAGTAGATCAAAGACCATTACCAACCGGAGGCAGAGATTATTTGGGATTGTCTGGGAATTCATTATGCCATGGAAACGGCATCCAGTGCATTCTGCACACACTTGGACTGAGCAAGGCATCTCCTGCTTTAGGTGGACTTGGCTGTCCATAGCAGCTGAAGTTCCAGTTGGAATTGTTTCAGAATTTTGAAAAGCTCTGTATTCCCTTGCCCATTTTAAACTTAACATTAAAACATAAAGCTTTTGCAGATTTACAACAACAACAAAAAAAAAACTCATTCAAAAGTGGGCAAAGGACATGAACAGAAACTTTTCAAAAGAAGACATAAAGACGCCAACAAACATATTAAAAAATGCTCATCATCACTGGTCATTAAAGAAATGCAAATTAAAACCACACTGAGATACCATCTCAAGCCAGTTAGAATGGCGATCATTAAAAAAAACGGGAGACAACAGATGCTGGAGAGGATGTGGAGAAATAGGAACACTTTTACACTGTTGGTAGAAGTGTAAATTAGTTTACCATTGTGGAAGACAGCATGGCGATTCCTCAAGCATCTAGAAATAGAAATTCCATTTGACCCAGTAATTCCATTACTGGGTATATATCCAAAGTATTATAAATCGTTCTATTATAAAGACACCTGCACATGTATGTTCATTGTGGCACTATTTACAATAGCAAAGACCTGGAACCAACCCAGATGCCCTTCAATGATAGACTGGACAAGGAAAATGTGGCACATATACACCATGAATACTATGCAGCCATAAAAAACGATGAGTTTGTGTCCTTTGTAGGGACATGGATGAATCTGGAAACCATCATTCTCAGCAAACTGACACAAGAACAGAAAACCAAACACCACATGTTCTCACTCATAGGCGGGTGTTGAACAATGAGAACACATGGGCACAGGGAGGGGAACATCACGCACTGGAGTATGTTGGGGGGTGGGGGGCTGGGAGAGAGAAGGAGGCAGGGAGACTGGGGAGGGATAACGCTGGGAGAAATGCCTGATATTGACAGAGGGATGGAAACAGCAAACCATCATGGCATGTGTGTACCTATGCAACAATCCTGCAAGATCTGCACATGTACCCCAGAACTTAAAGTACAATTAAAAAAAAAAAAGCTTTTGTACATGTCAAGAATCTACAAAATGTAAACATAGATATTTTGGGGAAAAAAATCGATAGAGCACTCTTTTGAATGTATTTGATGGATCCTAATACCATAGTCATTTGAAATACATGACCATTCATGAAGTAATTAATGTCAGGCCATCTTTAATAACTGAAAATATTTTATCATTGCCTTTTGTCATTGAACATTTATTACTTTTAAAACACAATTCCCCTACAGAATGTTAATACATGTTTATACTAGGAATCTTTTATGATCTCTCTGTCACATATCTGAAACAAATACATATTATAAATTGAAATATATTTTTTTTCTCTAAGTGTTAAAAAAAAATTCCTCTTTGGCCAGGTGCAGCAGCTCACACCTGTAATACCAGCACTTTGGAGGCCAAGGCAGGTGGATCATCTGAAGTCAGGAGTTTGAGACCAGCCTGGTCAACATGGTGAAATCCCATCTCTCCTAAAAATACAAAAATGAGCCAGATGTGGTGGTACATGCCTGTAGTCCCAGCTACTTCGGAGGCTGAGGCACAAGAATCATTTGAACCTGGGAGGCAGAGGTTGCAGTGAGTCAAGATTGTCCCACTGCACTCAAGCCTGGGTGACAGAGTGAGACTCCATCTTAAAAAAAAAAAAAAGAATTCCTCTTTGATTACATTATCATTGATACTGTTTTTATTACTTTTAAAATATAATTGGTCAAAACAATATAAAAATACTATAAATGTTAATAATTTTATTACAAATACAGTTTTAAGGGGGTTGCAGCTTATATTTTAAGCAAGTTTTTCAAGTGTACATTCATGAATATTACTTATGGCTATAGTATGTTAGGGTTCAGCACAGATTCTGTTCCTTTTTTTCATTTCAACAGATTATAAATGGTGTAAATCCTATTTCACAGAAATAAGTAGATAAGTAGAGAGGCCCAGAAGAAATATTATGATGGCAATTTTTTCACAATTTTTAAAATATGTTTTATATTCCAAAAGTCATTTAGTGATCTTGAATCAAAATTTGTAATTATCAGTAGACAATTCCATTTTGCTGAAATCGGTGATTTAGAAACCATTGAGCTTTTGATACCCAGATAAGATCGGCAGGGTTAGCAAATTAAAACAGAGAACATCTAGTTAAATTTCTATTTAACACAAACAATGAATACATTTCTAGTATAAGAACGTATTCTTGTATAAGAATATACAATATTTGGTATCTACCTATATAAAATATTCATTAGTTATCTGAACTTTAGATTCAATTTGGTGTCCTGTATTTTACCTAGCAACCTTATACTCAGATATTAGAGTCATTCATTTTCTCAACACTAATGCTGATTGATTATTCCAAATCATCCAGGAGGTTTCAACACCCAGAGAAACACAACATTTTAAAATTCATGATAGGTGAGAGGTGAGAGCCTGTCTTTTAAGGGAGGACAGAGAACCATCATAAGAAGGGAGGTAAGAAGACAGAACAAGCCTGGCAACTTTGACAGCTCTTGTTTTCAAGCAGATCAGTTTTAGGAGAAACTACACATGGAAGTTGAGAGTCAGGCTATTAATTCCTTCAAACTATTTGAGCTCCCACCTACCTGTTGGTAAGTCTTTGTAAACACCCAGGGGCACACTTACCCCAATTTAAAGACCATGGTTGGCCAGGCACAGTGGCTCACACCTATAATCCCAGCACTCTGGAAGGCCGAAGCGGGAGGATCACTTGAGGTCAGGAATTTGAGACCAGGCTGGCCAACATGGCAAAACCCTGTCTCTATTAAAAATACAAAAATTAGCTGGATGTGGTGTTGGGTGCCTGTAATCCCAGCTACTCTGGAGTTTGAGGCAGGAGAATCACTTGAATCCGGGATGTGGAGGTTGCAGTGAGCTGAGATTTTGCTACTGCACTCCAGCTTGGGAAACAGAGCAAGATTCCATCTCAAAAAAATAAAAATAAATAAAGACCATGGCTTAAGAAATTCCTGAACTGCCTGAGTCCCATGTTCCTCAAACTGGTTTTGAGAACTAGGGTCAGACCTACTAGGTTGAAAGCAAATTAACATGTCTCCTTTGCAATATTTTGCACAATTAAAAAAAATTATTTCCCTAGATAAATATGTATGTATTTGTTCACTGCGTTATTCTAGTACTAGTAGAGTGTCTGCTCATAGCAGATGCTCAGTAAACCTGTGTTTACTGACTAACAAAAATAGAGTCAATCTATGCAAACTATCCACTTGGGCTTTCTCTATTCTAAGTGTGCATCCACATTTTTAATGGTGTAACATACCTTGCATTTTCTTTCTAACCCTTTGTATATCTACCTACTTTATAACAAAAGCTCCTCTTTCCCTTTCAGCATCCAGCTGTTATCCTTGAGTAGGGACCATGCTAATCTTCTCAGTATGGTTCCAATTTTAGTATATGTGCTGGCAAAGCATGCACGGCCTAAATATATTTTCTTTCCAAACTCTCTTTTATTTTCTTCCAAGCCAGTGGATTCCAAGCTCCACATACTCTTTTCGTGACAGAAATATACCAGGAAACCTTTGAAGAAAGTGACAAAGCAGAGACATACTGTATAGCCATTACTATCTTCAGTTTTCTAGGTTGGTTTGTTTGTGGTTTTGTTTTTTTGGTTTATTTTTATTTTTATTTTTTTGAGACAGATCCTTGCTCTGTCACGCAGGCTGAAATGCAGTGGCACGATCTCAGCTCACTGTAACCTCAATCAACTGGGCTCAATTGATCCTCCCACCTCGGTCTCCTGAGTTGCTGGGACTATAGTCACAGGCTACCACACTTGGCTAATTTTGGTATCTTTTATAGAGACAGAGTCTCGCTATATTGCCCCAGCTGGCCTTAAACTTCTGGGCTCAAGTGATCTGTCTGCCTTGACCTCCCAAAGTGCTGGGATTACAGATGTGAGCCACCACACTTGTCCTCTTGGCTTTCCAAT